CTTCCACAAGAAACCCGGCCCTGAGACCCCAGGAGGTCCATCGACTTTTGGTGCGGGTGCATCGCGCCTTCCACAGCAGAACCATCGAAACCCAAGAACCTCCGGGCACCCTGGAGGCAAGCAATCTCTTGGCATCTTGCCGTCGCTCGGATGGCCATTTCCCGCGCATTTTGCAGTTTCGTGCGTATTTTTTTCTGCTCGATGGTCCAGGATGGTCCTCGATGGTCCTCGCCGAGAAAAAATGCACACGTCCGAGCGATGCCGAGAGCATAGGCCCCCACTGCCTGGGGGGGGGGAGGGGGGAAGGCTTCTCAGAGGGAGGCTGCTCCTCAGAGGGCGCGGGCCCTGCACGTCTGTGGACGAGGCCCGCGCCTTCCGAGGCGCAGGGCTGCTCCTCGGAAGCCCTCCGCCCTCCCCGCCGGCTCTCCCCTTCTGCGCGTGGCCGAGCCTGCGAGGCCCCAGGCAGTCTCCGGCAACGCCCCCAGGCACGCCTCGGCTCTCGATCCTCTCCCGCCCCCCCTCGGGAGCGGCCAAGAGGGGGGGGTGCAAATCATGACCGGCGGCATGTGCGCGGCCCGGCGGGGGGGGGGGGGCAGGGACGTAATGAAACGAGAAGGGGCGCCATGAAATCTGGGGAAATATCATGGCCCACGCCATTGCATTTCCGACCCTCTTCGCCGCCCCCGACCCCCCCCCCTGCTTGCAGATGGCGGGTTCCACTCCCGAACCCGACCAGGAGCGCACCCTGGCCAGGAGCTCGAGAGGCTTCGGCCGTGGCAGCGAGGACGCTTCGGGAAGCTCCAGAAAAGACGCATTCAGAAGCCACCTTCCCCCCTCGATCTCCTCCTCGTCCTCCTCCTTCTCTCCCCCCTCCACCTCCTCGTCCTCCTCCCCCTCCTCCTCCTGCCTTTCCCCCCGATGTCTCCCGAGGCCTGCGATGGGCTGGGAAGTGTCAAAAGCGCGCCAAAACCTCGATCGCCGGCCCCCGTCGATCCCCCCCCTCTCCCTCTTCCCTCCCTGCCTCGTCCCCCCCCCCACCCCCAGCGCGAGGGGGAGAAGGGGAGGGGGATCAGGGAGGCGGGGGGGGAGGAGGGAGTGGGGGGGCAGGGGAGAGGAGAGAGGATGGAAGGAGATGACGAGGAGGGCCCCGAGCCGCCCTCGAGCCCTCCTCCCTCCCCGAAGACGGCGGACCTCCAGCTCGGGGAGGTGAGCTGCCGGACTCAAAAAGCAAACAGCGCAGCGGCACGTGTGCGCTGGCTCTGTGGCGCTCTTGCAGAGGAGTGGGGGGCCTGCCATGGCACACCCGCCGGGGAAGACGAGGGCGGGGACGGTGGACGGGAGATGTTGGCTGGAGGACGGAAGAGAAGGGCACAATCAACACCGAATCAGGACATCGGATGATCAACATAGCGTTTCGAGGTGATAATGAAGTTCGGCCTCAGCGCTCGCCGCCCAATTTGAATTTTGTATAGGGCGACGATAATCAACTCTAAACACTGAAGGGGGGGGGGTCCCTTTATTATCATCGGCATGCGGTTACCTCACCTCGTCCTTGCTTTATGTTGCTCCCATCGTGTTCCAGGACCACGTTCCAGAAATAATTTCGAGCACCCAGAAGAGTATCGAAGAAAATGTCAACCGAGTATCGCCTCCCAGAGCTCGACACGTGAACATCCGTGAATTTCGATACGTTCCTGGTGCTCGAAATTCTTTCTGGTGATCAAAGCTAAAACAAGTTGGAACATCATTCCCGGATAGTTCTCTGAGAGCTAAGAGGGTTTCAGATTAGAAGCCGGCAGCGCAGGGTAGGCCAGCTCCTCTCCAAGGCTCCTGGGCAGGCATCCCCGGCGCAACTTGCCTGGCCTCGCAACGTCCCGAGAAGCGTTTTCCGTTTCGTTCTCAATACGCGTGCCTGGAGCCTTTCCGCTGGTCCTTCGAAGCTCTTTCGAAGCTCTTTTGACGCTCGCTTTTCGAAGCTTGCAAGCTCCCCAGGAATGCCTTCCAGCGCCCTGGCAAGCGTCTCCCACCAGCTTTTTCCAAGCTCGCAAGCTTCCCAGGCATGCTTTCCAGCGCCCTCGCCAGCGCCCTCCATGAGCTTCTTACGTGCTTTCGACTGCGTCGCTATCCGGGTTTTGGACAGCACAAGCAATTCTTGCTGTGCCTCTTCCTTCCCCGCTCCTTCCTCCTACATCCCACTTTTCTGGGACTCTGATTGGCTACACGCTGCACTGTCTTCTGTCGGTGGCCGGTGACACGCATCGAATCGGGCCGCATCGGCACAAAGTCGGAAACGAATCGAGTCGGCGGCGCCAGGATGCACACCCGCGCCACGCAAGGCTTTCGGCCGCGTCGGATCGCCCGACTGCCGGAATCGAGTCGAATCGGGCTGGCCGGAACCGATGTCGAATCGAATCGATCGGATCGAAATTGGTGAAGGGGATGCCCGCCCCCCTCGCCTCGAAGATGGTGGACTCCAGCTCGGGGAAGTCCCCGCCGCCGT